GGCCGGCCCTCTTCGAACTTGGCACTGGGGACAGGTGCACCTACTGAAAGAGAACCCTGGGCCCCCGCCTTTTCCGGGAACATGATTGACCCACGAACCCAGAAAAGACGATAAACATGTGAGGCATGGCAACGTTTTCAACACACCTGACTGGGCGGCGGGCGTCGAGCTCCTCGTAGTCCTTCGCTGCGTGTGGCTGCTGGCGGGGGGGGGTCTGCGCCCTCCCCCCCCTCTCCCTTGCCGCCCCTTCCCGCTGCCGCAGCCGCGGCCGCGGGCGGGCTGCCCGCCGCCTTGGCGCTGGTCCCTTCTGTGGTCCACTGGTTTTTGCCTTTTCCCTTGCCGCCCTTGTAGTGCTTCGGTTCGCCTTCCATATCCGCGTCTGCTCCCTTTTTGGGCGGGCGAAGTCTCCACGGTGCAATCGCCATCCTTGGGAGTCAAAACTGGGTGCAGACCTGGATGGTGGCAGCGTGCGCGTATCTGAAGATCTCCCAACGATTGCGCCTGAAAGCCACAGAGGGTGCAGTCTGGGGAAGGAGGCTCCTGGACTGGGTGATTCTAACAGCTTGTGTTGTTGTAGCAAATCCCGAGACTCTCCGCGGCCCTCATGACATGGTTGGATCGAGTCCTCCTTTGCATCCGAGTCCTGACCGACCTGATCTGGATCTTGAGCTCGAGCTGCCTGAGCACATAGTTGCCCAGAGCTAATTGACAGGGGGACATGCCAGGTGGACGCGCCGCGGAACGTTTCAAGGGACGCGCCAGGGGGCGTGCCCGGGGACGTGCCGTAGGAACGCACCGCGGGACGTGCCAAGGGGACGCGCTACGGAACGTGCAAATGGACGTGCCATGGGACGTGCCAGGGGACGCGCCGCGCGACTTGCCAGGGGGAGTACTCGGCAACGGGACGCGCCACAGAACGTGCCAGGGAACGTGCCAGGCGACGCGCCAGGGAACGTGCCAGGGAACGCGTCAGGGAACGTGCCACGGGACGTCCCTGACCCAAGGCCAGGATCCCTCGTAAATTATGTCGCGTCCGCCCTCCCTGACCCACAATCCATCGTAAACTACGCTGCGTCCGCGCTCCCATGGCCACGATCCAAATTGAATTACGATGCGTCCGCGCTCCCAAGGCCACTTCCCAATAAATTACGCTGTGTCCGCCCCCCCCCAGGCCACGATCCCTACTAAATTACGCTGCGTCCGCGCTCCCAAGGCCGCGACCCAGTGTAAATGAAACACTGCGTCCGCGCTCCCAGGGCCAAGATCAATCGCAAAATATGTTGCATCCGCTCTCCCTGTGCCACGATCCCTCGTAAACTACGCTGCGTCCGAGCTCCCAAAGCCGCGCTCCCTACAACAAATTACGCTGCGTCCGCGCCCTCAAGGCCACGTTGCCCAATACATTCAAATGTGCCCGCCCCCCCAAGGCTAGGCTCCATCGTAAACTAAGCTGCGTCCGCGCTCTCAAGGCCACGATCCGTTGTAAATGAAGCTGCGTCCGCGCTCCCAAGGCCTCGATCCCTACTAAAATACGCTGCGTCCGCGATCCCAGGGCCACGATCCATCGTAAACTACGCTGCGCCCGCGATCCCAGGGCCACGATTCCTGGTAAAGTACGCTGCGCCCGCTCTCGCTGGGCCACGATCCCTCGTAAACTACGCTGCGTCCGCGATCCCAAGGCCACGATCCCTACTAAACTACACTGCGTCAGCTCTCCGTGGGCCACGATCCCTTGTAAACTACGCTGTGTCCGCGCACCCAAGGCCACGATCCCTAGTAAATTACACAACGTCCGCGCTCCCAAGGCCACGACCCCTGGTAAATTACTTACACGGCGCCCGCGCTCCCAGTGGCACGATCCCTCGTAACTTATACGGCGTCCGCACTCCCAGGACCAGGATCCCATGGAAATTAAGCTGGACTTGCGCTCCCAAGGCAGCGATACCTAGTAACTTACATTGGATTCGCGCTCCTAAAGACACGATCCCTCATAAAGTACGCGGCGTCCGCGCTCCCAGGGCCAAGATCCCTTGTAAATTTCGCGGCGTCCGCGCTTCCAAAGCCGCGATCCCTCGTAAATTACGCTGGGTTTGCGCTCCCAGAACCCTCTGGGCATCCTGGAGCGCCCAGGCCCGTCAAATTTTGCAAACCGAGCGTTTCGCTTGAGACATCCCCAGAATTTCTGTGCGCAGGACGCTCCATCCTCGAGCGGACATGCAAAAAGTCAACATTTACAATTTTTTGGTGTCCTGGTCGGGGCTCCAGACTTCGTTTTTAGGATTCTGCTAGAAATGCCCCGCACGGGAATGCGGGTGTCTGCAGACCCCGTTATCTATCGAGGATCCGAAATGGGGGGCGCACGTTCCTCAAGCGGGCACGCGCGAAACACATTTTTTCCTCGCCGAATTGGGCTTAACATTTTTTAACCGCATGCCGATGAGAATAAAGTACCCCCCCCCCTTAAGTCGTTAGAGCTTTTTATCGTCGACCAATAAGAGTTTGGTCGGGGGCGCGGGGGCGCGGAGGCCGAACTTCATTATCACGGGAAAAGTTCGCGATCGAAGCTACTTCCTTCTTATGTTGAGGTAACAACATCAAGCGAAGCGAACACGTTGTTTCAGGATGTCTCAAGCGAAACCACTGTCCTTATGTCTCTTTGTAGTTATTTATGTCTCTCTTTCTTTCTTTCTCTGTCTCTCTTTTTCGCTCTCTCTCTGTCTCTCTATATCTTTCTCCTTCCTGGCCTCTCTGTCTCTCTCTCTCTGTCTCTCTATCTCTTTCTCCTCCTCCTCCCCCTGGCGCCCTGAACTTGTTTATCGCTGGGGTTGATTATCCAGGGAAAACGAGGCACGTGAGCTACCCTACACGAGCACTTAAAAATTTTAATTTTCATGAAGCGCTTGTACATAAAATTTAATACATTTGAATATTCCGTTTTTTTGTTTTGTCATCCTTTCCTCTTCTCTTTATCCTTATCATGTATTATTCTACTTTTCTTTTTAAATATATATTCTCTCTTTAAGTCCTTCCTTTCTTTTTCTTTATGATGTATCTCTCTTTCTCTCTCTCTCTCTTTCTCTCTCTCTCTCTCTCCATGCCCCCCCTCTGAACTTTTTTATCCCTGGGGTTGATTATCCATGGAAAATGAAGCACATGAGCTACCCTACACGAGCACTTAAAAATTTTAATTTTCATAAAGCGCTTGTAAATAAAATCTAATACATTTGAACTTGAGTTTTTTCCTTCTCTTTCTCCGCATCCTCTGTTTTCTTTTCTTTTTGATGTTTTTCCTTGTTCTTTTTCATTTCTTATTGTTCCTTTTTATTTTTTGTTTTTGTATATCGCTTTCTCCATTCCTCCGCCCGCCTGAACTTTATTATCGCCGCGGTTGATTATCCAGGGACACCGAGGCGGATGAGCTATTCCGAGGATGTCTCAAGCGAAACAAGCATATACTCGAGGATGTCTCAAGCGAAACAAGCATGTACTGAAGGATGTCTCAAGCGAGACGATACGTTTCTTAAGCGAAATAAGCAATAGTTTGACGGTGTCTCAAGCGAAATAAGCAATAGTTTGTGGATGTCTCAAGCGAAACAAGGGATTTGTCGAGGATGTCTCCAGCGAGATAAGCCATTGTTGAGGATATTTCTATGAAGACTAAACGCCAAGGATGTCTCAAAACGTGCTCGGCTTGGTCTCCTCTTGACCATCTCTTACTTCGAGATTATGCTGAGGTCTGGTGGGCTACTTTGATTATCTCCCCCTGAACCCCGAACTTTATTATCCCCTAGTGTTTATTCTCGAAGGTATTCGGTTAATCGAACGGAAAGCCGCCGGCCTTCTTCAAGCATGGCAGCAAGGGAAAACAATGCTAAAAGAGAACCCTGGGCCGACGCCCTTTCCGGGACATGATCGACCCACGAACCCGGAAAGGAATACAGAAATGAAAGGCATGGCAACGTTTCAAAGACACCTGATTGGACGACGGGCTAACGCAATGCTGAATTTACCGATCTTGATGTACCGTGCCGAGGGCGATGTGCCATGCCGCGATTGTGCTCTATAGCGTTGTGGATCGAGTCCTCCTTTGCATCCGAGTCCTGACCGAACTGATCTGGATCTTAAGCTCGAGCTGCCTGAGCACATAGTAGCTGCCCCACAGCTAATTGACAAAGGAACATGCTAGGAGGACGCGCCGCGGAACGTTCCAAGGGACGCGCCAGGCGACGTGCCAAGGGACGTGCCATGGGGACGAACGGCGGAACGTGCCAAGGGGACGCGTTACGGAACGTGCCAATGGACGTTGCGGACCCCGTTAGTAATCGAGGATCCGAGATGGGGGGCCAACTTTCCTCAAGCGGGCACGCGAAAAACGCATTTGTTCAACTACAAATTCACACTTAACCTCGCGATTCATCGCGGAATAATTTCGCCGGCCCTCTTCCCGTGGGGGCCGGGGGGAAGACCTACTAAAAGAGAACCCTGGGCCCACGCCCTTTCCGGGAAGAAGCGGGAGCGAAGACTGCAGGGAAGACAAGTAAAGCCTTCGACCAGAAAGCAAAAAACGCTAAACGATGAGGATCCACAGCGACGGGCTTGACAACGCTAAAAAAACAAAGCAAAAGACGCAACACAATGTCGCATGTATTGGTTTGCGTCTTTAGCTTGTCAAGGGCCCACATGGTAAAATGTTATAAACACACAACGCCCAAGGCGTTTCTAAGAAGAGCCAAATCGTCGTCGTCGTCGTCGTCGTCGTCGTCGTCGTCGTCGTCGTCGACGTCGCCGACCGCTCGCCACGGCCTCCGCGGGCGCAGCCAGGCTGGCGTCGGCGGCGACGGCGACGGCGCGACGGCGGCGGCGGCGAGGGCGGCGACGACGACGACGGCAGCGGCGGCAGCGGCGGCGGCGGCGGCGACGGCGGCGACGGCGGCAGCCTCCACGGCAACGACAGCGGCGGCGGCAATGCCGACGGCAGCGGAGGTCAGGCCGCCCGGGGCCTCCGCGGGCGCCACCGCCTGCTGCTCCGCGTCCGCCTCGGCCACCACCGCGCCCTCCGCCGCTGAGGCAGCCGCCGCCGGCGCCTCGGAGGCCACTGCGCGCGCGGAGGGTGGCCTCGGAAGCCCCGCGGGGGACGCGCCAGCCTGGGCCAGCGCGGGCCCGGGCCAGCGAGGGCCCGGGCCAGCCGAGGCCCTGCCGCGGCCCGGCCGGCCACTCGAGAGCCCCCAGGCCAGGGCTGGCGAGGGGAGGAGGAGGAGGAGGAGGAGGAGGAGGAGGAGGAGGAGGAGGAGGAGCAGTAGCAAGAGCAGGAGGAGCAGCGAAGGAGGAACAGCGGGAGGCGGACCCCCCCCCGCCTGCCCTACGCGGGCCCCAGGCTCGCCTCGTCCGCGCGCCCTCCCCCCGCCCCCCCGCGGGGCATCCAGCCCAGAGCGGCGGCGCCAAGCCCGCGGGCGCCAGACCCCCGCGGGAGGATCGGCCCCGCGCGGCTACCACAGCCGGGTCGGCCAGAGGGGAGCGGCCGACCCCCGCGAGCAGGTCGCCAGCAGGATATCCGATCCGACGGGTCGGCCTCTCCAGATCTTGAGAAGCGCCCCTGCGGTTGGCGTTGAAGAGACTGCGCGCAACACCGATCCCCGAAGCGCACGCTACACTCCTGTGGGGCGAGTCTCCCCGCGAGGGCCCCTTCTGTGCACGCCATCCCCCTGCCATGGTTTCTTCGGTGCCATAGCGTGAGCGGGCTGGCGGCGCCACATCGCACGCCATCTTTCAAGCGCCAACCTCAACTACAGGACGAGTGCTATCGACGTGGGGCTTGGATGTCCATGCGAACTCCACTCCAAGACCCAGGATCTGGAAGAGCAGGTCCCTGGGATCGGATGCTCCTGTCGGGGCTCGATTTTGCGCTGACCCCCGTTGCGTGCGCCTGAAGAAAGCGAGTCCTGAGGCATGCGGGTCCTGGACCCCGGGCCTTCCAGGGCAAGACCAACTCTCCCCCCCGAACCGTTTTCCGACGGCCCCGGTGTGCCCAACACGGCGGAAGACTCAGAACCCCTTTCCTCGGGACCCGACCTCTGACCTCCGCCGACGTGATGACCATTCCGGGGGGGGGGAGTTCCTTCTTCGCCCCGGACCCGGGGCCCAACTCACGGCCCCCGAGGGCCGAGGTCGAAGAGCCAACGCCAGACCCTGGTGAGAACGTCAGCAAACTCCTCGTCGGAGCTCTCGGCTTGCTTCACGGCGGGGCAGTGCTCGTCCGTCCCGTGCGCCCCGCTGCGACGGGCCCCGGCGCCGGGCTACGACCGAGGCGGCCGCTGCAGGGCGGCGGCGGGCGGCCCTGCCCTTACAGGGACGGTGCGCTGCTGGATCTCCCCAAGGGGGGGGGAGAGGGACCCCCCACCCCCCCACCCCCCTTCCCCGATCCGTCGTCGGGGAACCCCCCCCCCCCCCGCCCTTACCCGATCCGTCGTCGGGACCCCCCCCCTCCCCCTCTTTCCCCGATCCGTCGTCGGGGCCCCCCCCCCCTTTCAAAAACGAGGGGGGGAGGGTCCGAACCCCCCCCCCTCCCTCCCCCCCTTTGGCCGCCCCCCCCCCCCCTTTTCGCCACGCCGCCCCCTGACTCCGGAACCCGACCCCCGCCACCCCTACCGCTAGTCCTCACCCTAACCCAAACCCCTAACAAGAACCCTAACCACTAACCCCAGCCCCAAAGAGTACTCACTACTCATTTATCACTACCCACTACTAGCTACTCGCTATTCGCTATTCACTTCTCACTACCCCCTACTCACTACTCACGACTCACTACTCACTATCCACTACTCACTACCCACCACCCACTACTCGCTACTCATTACTCCCTACTCACCACTCCCTCCTCCCTACTCACTACTCACTCCTCACTACCCACTACTCAATACTCACTAAGCACTATTTACTCACTATTCCCTATTCACTACTCACTAATCACTACTCATTATCCACTACCCACTAATCCACTACTCGCTACTCACCACTCGTTGCCGACATATCACTACTCACTACCCACAACTCGCTACTCGCTACTCCCTACTCCCTAGACAATACTGACTACACAGTACTCAGTACTCACTACTCGCTACTCCCATACTCGCTACTCAATACTCACTACTCACTCCCCGCTACCCACTACTCACTACATAATCTCTAGTCACTAGTCACAGGTCACTAGTCACTAGTCACTACCCACTACTCACTGCTCATGAATCGATACTCACTACCCACTATTCGTTACCCACTTCTTACTATTCACTGCTCACTACTCCCTACTCCCTACTCGCTACTCACTACTCGCTACTCCCTAGACGTTACTCACTATTCACTACCCACTACTCACTACTGACTACTCTCTACTCACTACTCACTACGGCCTACTCGCTACTCACTACTCACTATTCGCTACTCCCTACTCGCTACTCCCTGCACACTACCGACTGCCACTACCCACGACTCTCTATCTATCACGACCCACTACTCACGACTCACTACGCACTACGTACTCTTCAGTACTCAGTACTCACTACTCACTACTCGCCACTCTCTACTCACTACTCACTACTCACTATTTACTACCCACTAGTCACTATTCACGACTCACTACGCACTACCCACTACTCACTAATTAATCACTAATCACTACTCGCCACCCATTACTCACTACCCACTACTCACTACCCACTACTCATTACTCCCTACTCCCTACTCAGTACTCACTACTCACTACTCGCTACTCACTACTCACTACTCGCCTTCACTCTTCACGTACCAGTACACACTACTCACTATCCACGACTCACTACTCCCCACTCCCTACTTCCTACTCCCTACTCGCCACTCACTACCCACTACTCACTACCCAATATTCACTACTCACTACGCACTAACTCACTACTCACTACTCACCACTCCCTACTCCCAACTCCGTACTCCCTACACACCTTCTCTTGCGCAGAAAACAGAAGCGAGAGAGGCCCGCCCTCCCCGGCTCCCTTTCCTGCGCAAAGGGGGGGAGATGGGGGGACGTTCGAACCCCTCCCACCCTTACAGCGCCAAAGGGGGGGGGGGGTCCGGACCCCCCCCCCCCTTCAAGGAAGGGGGAGGGAGGGGGAGGAGGGTCGGAACCCTCCCCGCCCCCTTGGAGGGGAGGAGGGGGGTGGGGGGGGGGTTCTGGACCCCCCCCACCCTTTAGTGTATTCAGGGAGATCCACTGGCGCACTTTCCCTTACAGGACCCCGTGGAATGGAGGCGGCGGTTCCGCCCTGCGGGCCCCGCGGCCAGAGGAGGGTTCCACGAGACTTTCCGAGGAGATGGCATGTGGGGACCCTGCGTTCGTCTTCGTTTGTTCGGCAGCTGGGGCCCGGTGCCACATCAAAAACGGACCCGAGGCGAAAGCAATACCCCCCGGGAGAGGGTCGCACGAGAGGACACGTGGTCAGCAAGTCAGGGCACATCGATCGCACTCGAGAACACAGGCACCGCACGGCAGGACACGATCTCTGCACTCTGGAAAATTAAACGCTGCGCGGCACGGCACGGCACGGCACGGCACGCACAATAATTACATGTTTCACCCTCTCAAACGCAAGCACGGCGCGGCACAACACGCAGGTAAGGCACGGCCTCCACATTCATTCTACAACCGTTTGTTTCGTTCTTCTCCGAACGCGACATCGTTGCCCAGAGAACAGTCGGGCACCGCTCCCACGCAGCACGCATCCCCAGGCCACGACGAAGAAACTGCCCTGGCCGTTCTAGGCAAGGGCGCGCGGATATTAGTTCCCCCGGAGCCCCGAAGCGTCGCGCCGCGTCGAGACCCCAGTCTGGGTGCGGCAAGGGAACGTGAAGGAAGGGATGACAAGGAGGAGGTCTCCGCCAGGACTGAATGAGCAGCCAGCTTGAGCTTTCGAGCATAGATCTAGTAAAAACAGTCCTCCGCCTGCCCTACATTGGCCCGCATACCTTTTCACCCCTTCCCCTGCCATCCCTCCTCCTCCTTCTCCTCTTCCTCCTTCTCCTCCTCCTCCTCCTCGTCGTCCTCCTCCTCCTCCTCCTTCTCCTCCTCCTCCTCCTCCTCCTCCTCCTCCTCCTCCTCCTCCTCCTCCTCCTCCCCGTCCCCCTCCCCCACCTCCACCTCCTCCTCCTCCTCCTCCTCCTCCTCTCCCTCCTCCTCTTCCTCCTCCTCCTCCGCCTCCTCCTCCTCCTTTCCATTTCCTTGTAAATAACTTCTCCCCCGAAGCCAGTTTTTAGGGCGGGCCGGGCGTTTCGCCTGAGACTTCCTCACCACGTACGACTCTGAAGCTTGATGGAGGGCGGGTGGCTTTCGAAATGTGGCTCTCGCCTTAGCGCGGCGCGCATTCGTTTTTGGCATTCGCAAAAGCTTCACGGATTGAGGGCGGGTGGTTTTCAAAATGTGGCTCTCGCCTCAACGCCGCGTAGATTCGTTCTCAAAATTTGAAATGGCATCACGGATCGAAGGCGAGTGGATTTCATGATGTGGCTCCGAGGGCTGGCCGTTCTCATAATGTGGCTCTCGCCTTAGCGCGGCGCACATCCGTTTTGTTTAAACAATTGCATGGGTTTCACGGATTGAGGGCGGGTGGTTTTCAAAATGTGGCTCTCGCCTTCGCGCCGAGCGCATGTGTTTACAACATGTTCAAAGGTTTCACGGATTCTCATCATCAACGTACCAGAAATGGTTTTTCAATGATTATTGATTATGCGGGCTCAACAGTCACGTTGATTATCTGTGTTGAAGTTCTAGTAATGGCGTTCTGGCGCGATTCAGGATGGTCAAGACGCAGCAGTCAGGTTGATCCGTGGCGTTGGAATCCCGAGAACAAGTCTTGGCATGCTTCAAGGTCTTCAGCCGGGTGTCTTCCAACGAGGCGGTTCCTTCAACGGAAATGAACCGTTGTAGGGTCCTAAGAAGAGGGAGCTTGGAGGGAGGGTTTACTCCAGCATCGTTGATTACTCTTGGGTTTACACTGGTCCTCCTCCTCCTTCTCCTCCTCCTCCTCCTCCTCCTCCTCCTCCTCCTCCTCCTCCTCCCCCTCCTCCCCCTCCTCCCCCTCCTCCTCCTCCTCTCCTCCTCCTCCTCCTCCTCCTCCTTCTCCTCACTCCTGCCCCTCCTCCTCCTCCTCCTCCTCCTCCTCCTCCTCCTCCTCCTCTCCCAGGCGGCGGGGCCGAGGGAAGGCCGACGGGCGGCGAGCGCCCCCGGCCTGCCCGCTCGAGGCCGACGGGGCGGGCGGCGCGGCCCCCGCGGCATCCTGGGACCGCGGGCTTGCGGGGGAGGCCGGGCCCTCCAGCAAGGGAGGGGGCCACTCCGGACTGCCCCTCGCCTCCCCCTCCTTCTTCTCTCCTCCACCTCCTCCCCCCTCTCCTCCTCCTCCTCCTCCTTCCCCTCCTCCCCCCCCCTCCCCTTCCCCCTCCTCCACCTCCTCCTCCTCCTCCTCCTCCTCCTCCTCCTCCTCCTCCTCCCTCCTCCCTCCTCCTCCCCCCATCCCCCCTCCCCCCTCCTCCCCCTCCCCCTCCTCCCCCTCCTCCTCCCCCTCCTCCTTCTTCTCCTCCTCCTCCTCCTCCTCCTCGTCCTCCTCCATTCCATGTCCTTCTTTATAACTCCTCCCTGTCGCACCCCGAGGCCACTCGAAAGGGCGGTCCAGGAGTTTCGCCTGAGACTCCTTTTTCCATAAATGATGATAGATCTTCGATTTCAAGCAATTTCACGGATGCAGAGCGGATCGTCATCAAAATGTGGCTCTCGCCTCAACGCCGCGCACATTCGTTTCACTGTTTGCTTGAGTTTCTCGGGTGAAGGGCGGACCGTTTTCAAAATGTGGTTATCGCCTTAGCGCCGCGCACACTCGTCTTAAAATATTGCACACGTTTAACGGGTGGAAGGCGGGTCCTTTTTCAAAAGATGGCTCACGCCTTAGCGCCTCGTACACTCGTTTTAAACATGTGCAAGGGTTTTTTCGGATGGAGGGCAGGTCGTTTCCAAAATAAGGCTCTTGCCTCAGCGCCGCGCGCGCCCGTCTTAAACATTTGCAAGAGCTACACGGATGGAGGGCGGTTTCTTTACAGAAGGTGGCTCTCGCTTCAGCGCCGCGCGCATTCGTTTTGAGACTTTACACAAGTTTCAAGTATTCTCATGGTTAACGTCTCAGAAAGGGTGTTCTGGCACGGTGTCGGAGCGTCAGGGCGCGACAATTACGTTGATTCGTGGCGTTGAAGTCCCAGGAATGGTGTTCTGGCCCGGTTCAAGATCGTCAGGACGCAGCAGTAACGTTGATTCGCATCGTTGAAGTCAAAGAAATGGTGTTCTGGCACACTTCAGGGTTTTCCAACGGTTGTCTTCCAAAGGGGCATTTCCTTCAGTAAAAATCAACCCTTGCAGGGGCCTATGAAGAGGGAGCTTGGAGGGAGGGCTTCTGGCAATATCGTTGACGAGTCTTGGGTTTGCACTTGTCCCCTTCCTCTTCTTCCTCCTCCTCCTCCTCCCGTTTTCTCTGCCTTTTCCACCCCCTGCTTCCTCCCCCTCCCCCCCACCCTCGCTTCACCCGCCTAGTCCTTCATCAAGAGAGCTGCTACTGATATCTCACCCCGTCCGATGCCACCACTTCGCGTCATCCAGGGGCGCAAGTCTCAAGGACGTGGTGAGTCGAATGCCCCCACGGCCAGGGTAGCTCACAACTGAACAGCTGCCACCTGTTCTGGGTTAGAACTTGGCAGCAGGGCTTTAGCAGCTGTCTACTGGGCCCCGTGGAGTACGCCCCACACCGAAGGCACCTCGCAACGCGCAGAGTCGAGCACAAAGTTTTGGCACCATGAAGGGTGTGGGGCGGTGACGCAATTTCACTACCCAAGGCACGCATTGCAACGGCCAAGCCCACACAAACCCACTCTCAAGAAGATTAGTGCTGAAGCAGCGAGGGCAGTCGAGGCAGCGCCAGCGGCGGGGGTCCCAGAAACACACGGCAAAATGTACGACTGCTAGAGGACCGTCGGCCTCGGAACCCGCACAAAACGCTCGAGTTGCCGGAGCAGCTCCTTGGCTGCGGGACGGATGCTAATACATGTGACCCACAAATAGGGCCAGGGTGTATCAACTACGCAGTGCTAGCGGCTAGCTCAGACCTCACTATTCTGAGCTGTCTCGGGGTGGAGCTAAGTGCCGTCGCTGGCATGTTTGTCTGCCAAGTCATTACCCAATTCACGCCTATCCGCATCACCAACCACTCCCTCATCCACAGACGCGTTGGCCGTACCTATAGCTGAGTCTGCATGCTTCCTTGAGCAGGGAACGTTCCACACCTCGATGGGCAGAGATCTCCCGCTCGTTGCAGCTTTGGTGTCCGCAAGTCCTGAGCCTGATCGGTTCCACCGAGCCGTCCTCGCCATGCTCCAAGGCCTGGAGCTGCGCATGGTGTCTGGCCGACACCTTACTCTGAAGCAGGACGCCTGGCAAGCTACCAGCATCCTGTTGACGACAGTCCCCATGCCGTCGATTTGACTCACTGCCGATGCAAACCTGCTCACAAGAAGCGTAGATCTTGTGTGTTTTTCCGCGACACTACACCTCTGGAGTGTTCCCAGACCAGCGGATCCCCGCTGCTCGCGTTAAGCATACACGACCAACGCACGGACAACGTCGCCATGTCAACCCACACGAGCACTTGTCCAATTGGGCCCCATTATCTAGCATTTCACTTGCTCTTGGGGTGCTGAACATGTTGCGTCCGAAGCACGTTCCCTGCCCTCTCTCCTCCGCCTTCCCCCCCCACCTCGTCCCCCATCTCCTCCTCCTCCTCCTCCTCCTCCTCCTCCTCCTCCTCCTCCTCATTGTCCTCTCCTCCCTCTCATCCCTCCTCCCCCTCCTCCATTTCCTCCCTCCTCCCTCCTCCATCCCTCCCTCCCTCCCCCTTCTCCTCCTCCTCCTCCTCCTCCATCCACCTCCTTCTCCCTCATCCATCCACCTCCTTCTCCCTCATCTCCATCTGCTTGCTAAGAAAGAGCTCCTCCTTGCCGCGCCCCGAGACCGGTCGGCAGGGTGGGCCTGGCGTTTCGCCCGATAATTCATCACCAGTTATGATCCTGGCACACATTCGTCTTGAAACTTTGCAACAGCTTCAAGGATGGAGGGCGAGTGGTTTTCGAAATGTGGCTCTCGCCTTTGGTGCCGCGCGCATTCGTCATCATGGTTTGCAACAAATTCACTGGCGATTGGCGGGTCGTTTTCAGAATGTGGCTCTCGCTGTAGCGCTGCGCGCATTGGTCTTAACAGTTTGAAGAAGCTTTCACCTATGACGGGCACGTCCTTTTCAAAACGCGGCTATCGCTGTAGCGCCGCGCGCATTCGTCTTAAACCTTTTACAGGAGCTTCACAGATGGAGGGCGGGTGAATTCAAACATGTGGTTATGATCCACGCACCGATCACATTCGTCTCAACAGTTTGCAGCCGGTTGACGGATGACAGGCGGGTCGTTCTCAGCATGAGATTATCGCTTTAGCGTCGAGCGCATTCGTCTTAACAGTTTGCAGCAGTTTCACGGGTGATGGGCGAGTAGTTTTCAACATATGGTTCTCGCTGTAGCGCCGCGCTCATTCGTTAAACATATTGTGAGGACTTCACTGATGGAGGGCGGGTGGGTTTTCACAATGTGGTTCTCGTCTTCGCACCGCGCACATTCCTCTTAAACGTTTGCGCAGGCATCACGGATGGAGGGCCATTCGTTTTCATAGTGTGGTTGTCGGTTCAGCGCCGCGCGCAGTCGCCTTAAACATTCACAAAACTTCACGGATGGAGGGCTATTATTTTGTCAGAATGTGGTTCTCGCCTCAGCGCCGCACACCTTCGTCTTACAAGATCACAACAGTTTCACGGATGGAGGGCGGGTGGTTTTCAACATGTGATCCTCGCCATTGGCGCCGAGCACACTCGCCTCAGACAGTTGCAAGGGCTTCACGGATGGAGGGAGGTTCCTTTCAAAATGTAGCTATCGCCCTAGCGCCGAGCACATGCGCCTTAACAGCGTAAACACTTTCACGGAATGACAGTGTTCTGGCAAGATTCAGGATTGTCATGGTGCAGCAATCACGTTGGTTCGCCGTGTCACAGGGCCAGGATTGGCGTCCTGGTAGAATTCAGGGCCGTCGGGACAAAACAATCAATACGTGTTTTGGCACGATGGAAGATTCCCAGACGGTTGACTTCCAACGGGGCCCTTCCCGCAGTGAAAACAAATTCTTATAGGGACCTGCGAAGAAGGAGCTTGTAGAGAGAGTGTATTGCAACATCGTTGATGTGTCTTGGGTTTGCACTTGTCCTCCTCCTTCCCCTCGTCCTGCTTGTGCGCCTCCTCCTCCTCCTCCTCCTCCTCCTCCTCCTCCTCCTCCTCCTCCTCCTCCTCATGCGCCTCCTCCTCCTCCACCTCCTCCTCCCACCTCCTCCTCCTGCTGCCCCCCCCCGCTACTCCCTCCTCCTCCGCGTCCCCCTCCTCCTCTCCCTCCCTCCCTCCCTCCCTCCCTGCCTCCGCCCCTCCCCCCCTTTCCTGGCCGGGGCGGGGCCTCCTCCTCGGCGCCCGGCTCCGCCAGCCGCAGCCGCTTGGAGCGGCGCTGCTGCTCCCCCTGCTGGGCCATCGCGCCCGCCGCCCGCCTGCGCGGGCGCAGGGGCGGGCCTCCGTGCCGCCTCCTGGCTGCCCCGTCGCTCCCTCCTGGCTCCTCCTCCTGCCCCTCCTTCTTCCTGCCCCCCGCCCCCTCCGTTCTCTTCATCCTCCGCCTCCTCCCTCCTCTTTCTCCTCCTCTCCCCTTCTCTGCCCTTCCTCCTCCTCCTGCCCCCTGCCACCTGCCTCCTCCGCCTCCTCCTCCTCCTCCTCCTGCTCCTCCTCCTCCTTCTCCTCTTCTCTCCGCGAGCGTGCCGCATCGGAACGCCCCAGCGCGGCCCGCTGAGGAGGGAGGCGGGGCCGGCAGCACAGGGGCCGCCGCAGAGGTGGACGATGGAAATCACGAGGAGCCCGCCGCTGCACCGGCGCCCCGGGCCACCGGATCCCTGAGACCCGGGAGCCGCCTCAGCATCCGCACGAAGGGCATCGGCGCCCGGTGGCGCAGGGGCGAGCAAGGCGGGCGGAGGTCGCGGCGCTACGGCCCGAGAGCGATCCCGCCGAGCAGAGCTCACTCCGAGGACGTCGGAATCGGACGAGGAGGCCAGGACCAGAGGCCGAGGGTGCGCCACCATCGAGCTAGAGGCTGCGGATGAGGGTGAAGAGGTCACCGATGCCTCCTCCTTCCTCTCTTCCTCTTCCTCCGCCCTTCTTCCTTCCTTCTCGTCATTCTCCTCCTCACTTCTCTCCCCCCTCACTGCTGCCTCCTGCCTACTCCTCCTCATCCTGTTCCTCCTCCTTCGTCCTCCTCGTCCCTCTTACCCCAGGGCCGTAAGATGCTGGGGCATAGCAAGGGGCGGAGAGGGGGGCACGGAGGCATAGAGGGGGAGGAATAGGGGAAGGCATTGACGAGGGAGAGGGAGGAGGGCGGCAGGGAGTACTGCGAATACTTCGATTGGCGATCGACGTTTCATCCACACCACAGTTTGTTTGCCATGCCCAGCCCTGGGCCCCCCCAGAGTTAGTGGCCAGAGTGGGGGGCAGCAACAGGGGTATAGATCGAACGTCGACCCCAGAGTTAAAGGGGGGGGGAACGCAATGAGAGGAAGCTGGAGAAGTGCCGTCCGCCCTCGTACGCCTTTCCAAAATTTCCTCCTCCCCCCTGGTCCCTGTCACAATCACGTGCACAATTTGATGTTTCCGTCCATCGCAGAACAAACACCCACATAATGCATCAGCATCACCTGTCCGAGGTCCGCGCAAAGTTCTTGGGTCGGCCCTGGACCTCCCTGGCGGCGCCTTCTGCGCCGTCCCTGGCGCGCTTCGCGCGCCATCCATGGGTCCAGCGCCGATCCAAGGAATCGGCTACGACCTCCGAAAGTGCATGATTACGCTATGTATTATCATTGTGACCATTCTTCTTCTGTTTATTTAGTATAACTGTTGTTACTATTATTACTACTACGAGAACTACTATTGCTACGAATATTATTGTGATTAGATGATTCGTATTATTACGAACGTGATTATTGTTATACGTAGTATGAGTATTACGATTATTATTATTCGTCGTTATAGCATTCGTGATACTATTCGTATTGATTCTCGCATTACTATCATTGTCTTTCGTATGAGCATTACTGTTATTACTTGTCGTGCTACTACTAGAACTTGTAGTGTAAATATTAGTACTGGTGTTATTAGTACTCGGATTATTATTATTAGTATTACTATTATTAGCATTCTTATTCTGATGATTATTATTATTCGTCACGCCAGATGGCGTCTCGATCCTCCGCACAATGTTCTTTTCCCGCTCGGGATGCCGCCCAAGCAGTCGGGCACCCGACCTGCCCATCCAGCGCTTGCTCCTTTCTCGCAAGATGTCGCTTCCCCGAGCAACAAGCCCGACGCACTGCTGCCAATCCACCGCCCACCGGCTGGTGGCGCTCGGGAACCACCTCCGCCACCGCTGGAAGAGGGCTTCCCAGCTTCCAAGCTGACGGCAAGGGCACCCCACAGCGCTGGGGAAACTCCGGGGGATCTCCCGCGTCCCTCCCCTCCTCCACCTCCACCGATCACCCCCCTCTCCGGCCCCTCTTCCTCAGACATGCGACGATATACAACTGCTCAAACTAAACCTCCGAAGCACTTTCCAAACGAACAATCTTTCGTCCCTGATCCGGATCTGATGGTCCTGGGATCCGGAAGCGGCCCCTGGGGGCCGAAACTGAAGACAAACTTGAGGGACTCACGAATCCAGTAAAAAACTTGAATCAAATTTTTGTTCTGACCCGTGTGTTATCCGCCACCGTGCCCTGGAGGCGACGAGTTGGAGTGTTCTCGAATCCCTTGCTCGGCCCCTTGGAGCCTCAGAGGGGGCGCGGGCCCCAAATTGCCAAATCTTCCGGGGCTTCTCACGTGGCTCCGGGGGCTCCCGGCATCTTCCCGCGTGACTTGTGCGGGCCCCAGACGGCCCCAAAAGGGTCCAAGAGGGCCCCAAGAGGCCCCCAAGACGGTCCAGAAGGGCCCCGAGTCGCCCAAAGATCGCTCTAAGGTGGCCTCAAGACACCCCAAGATGCCCCCAAGACGCCCGAAGAGGCCTCCCAAGTGGGCCCCGTGGGGCAACAATCATCGATTTGCCATCGGCGTCTTGACGGCCGTTGTTTGGTCGTTTTCGCCTTTGCAGCTCCCCGACGCTCCGAGACGGCCCAAGAGGCCCCAAAGATCGCCCTAAGACGGACCAGGAGGCCTCCAGGAGGGCCCCGAAACGGCCCAAGAGGCTTCCAAGACGGCCCGGAGAGGGCCCCAAGACGACTCCAAGAGGGTCCCTGAACGGGGGGCCCGAACGGACACTTCGAGCCCTCGACCCCGAGAGGCCCCCAGGAGTCCTCAAGAGGCCCCCAAGAGGTCCCCAAGAAACCCCAAAGAAGCCCTAGAAGGTCCCCAAGAAGCTCTCAGGAGGCCCCTAAGAGACCCCCAAGAAGCTCCAAAACAGCACCCAAGAGGCCCCCGAGAGCGTTCCGAGGAGACCCCAAGAAGCACCCAAGCGGCATTCTACCCACAACCCAGTGATGCTGTGGTACCACTGGGGTCAGACCGACTCTAAGACTCACCTGGTGCTTCCTTGGCACAGACGATATGGCTCAAATGGTACTTCCCTGGCACCATTAAATTTATACACAGACGGCATGGCTCAAGTGGTACTGTCTCGGTGCTTCTGGCGCCATGCAGAAGACAGAACTGAAATGGTACCTGCTTGGTACCACTTGAGCCATATAGACGATCTGCTGAGCGGTCATATAGAACATGCGACTCAAATGGTACCTGCTTGGAAACACGGAGGTCACGCAACAAATACTGCTCAATACGTACTGCCATGATGCCGCTTGTACGATGATTTGGCACACCCACGAAGGTTCCAATTCAACTCGCCCCCGAGAACCACTCCACCAAATCCCGAGAAGCATCCGAGAGTCCTCGGGCCCACAACCCAAAACGCCAATATAGTATCCCTGTGCCCGACTGTCACCACTACCTCCTGTTGCTGTTGCTGTTGCTGTTGCTGTTGTTGTTGCTCTTGTTGAACATTATTTATTCTAAAGAATAATTATTGTTGGGCCCCCTGGTGCGCGCCCCCCCTGCGCCGCCTAGGCCGCAGCTACATTTTCATCATTTTCGTGAGGAAGCCTCAGGTAAAACGATGTGATCCAGATCCGGTTGTTTTGTTGTAATCCGTTTTCCCTTGCAAAAAACACTATAAAATGACATTTCTTGTTCTAATATAATCAAATTTCAAGAATCCCTTGCAAAAAATAAGGTAAAGTGGACATTCGCGCGCGCAAGACGAAATCCTTCCAAAACCTTAGTGTTCGTAGCGATTTTAACATAAAAACATCAAAAAAAAAACCAATGGTTTTTCAAAGAAAAAAAAATGTCAAAATTTCATCCCGCGCGCTCTTGCGGATTCGTAGGAAACCCAACACTTTTTAAACATTTCTGTCAAACGGGCTTTTGCGAGCAACTTTTTCGAACTTCTGCGAACAACGGTTGCGCACCTGCCAGGGCCATCATCCCTGTCAAATAATACCATGCGGGACACATTCGTTTTTTCTTCGCGCGCGCACGCCGAAATCTTCAAAAACCATTGGGTTTCTTAGGAATTTTAGCACCGCGCAACATAAAATCATACGAATCGCACCGTAGGTCCTCGAAAAACATCTGTACGAATTTTCAGAATTTCTACCCGCGCGCGCTGTCCGAATCCTAAAAAACCAATGGTTTCTCAAGTCGTATACTAAGCTAGCGTCCAGAAAATGTTACCACAACAAGTCACTGTACCCATGCGCCAGTGTAGTAGCCACGGTCGTCCGCAGGCCACGAAGTGAAGTGTCCGAACGTCATAGGGCGGGAAGCTGGGTGTGGGTGGTGGCGAAGAGTCGTTTGGAAACTTGGTAGAGCTTGAACCGGCCCCCCCACAAAGTGGGGGTATTGCCCGCCTCCTATGGAAACCCTGGCACTGGTGAGAACGGAGTGTCCCCAGTCTTAAATGATTGCTGTTGTTGTTGTTGTTGTTGTGGTTGGTTGGTTGGTTGGTTGGTTGGTTGGTTGGTTGGTTGGTTGGTTGTTAAACTGACAATACTGAAAAATCAATATGGTTGATCCCCCCTCTGGTAACCATTTTGCTTTTCAGTTAAAGTGCTTCCCTCGGGGCTCGCCCCCTGTTTTGTATCAGAGAAAAAAGCACAAGGCTCAAACTGCGCTGTTGGCCCCCAGGTTACAACAACAATGGCTCCCGCCTGAGACTTCCTCACAATTTAGACAGGACCCACGCTCCCGCCTGACAACTCCTCAGATTTCACTCAGGAATCACACTCCCGCCAGGGACTTCCTTACAATCGATTCAGGAATCGCTCTCTCGGCGCTCTGGTATCGCGCTCTCGTTGGAGACCCTGCAATTTACTGAAAAATCGTGCTCTTGCGTTGGCAATCCCCACAATTTGCTCCAACGCCGCGCTCCCGACACTCAAACACCCAGGAGTCGCGCTCACTTTTGGGACCCCC